GAAACCACCCTTCTACTTTGTGTCTCTATGAATTTGAATGCTCTAAGTACTTCATGCTAGTGGAACCATACACGATGTAGCCTTTTATATCTGGCTACTTTCACTTGGCATGTCATCAAGGTCCAGCCATGTTATAACAGATGTCAGCATTTCATTCCTTCTTATAGCTGAATTACATTCCATTGTATACGTGAGAGATGGGAAAGCTCTTCTTCAAAGTTTATATCTCAACTACATTATAAGGAGTTACAATCTATTGCTCTATGGCCATTATTTGCTATTAGCATAAACATACACACACACACACACACACACACACACACACACACACACACACACATATATTCTCTAAATCAGCTACTCTTAAATGAGCTATCTTGACTCACCCCGGCATGTCTGAACGGAACTGGGCAAGTTCCAAACCCTGGTGCATTCCATTCCTTATTTGGAATGCTTCCTGGCCTCCTTCTGAGTAGCTTCCTTTTCTTCCTTGCCGCCTTTCCCCCTTATCCAGAAAATTTCCAAGTTTTTAGCCAATTGGGTCAAGCACAGAATGTGAGGTCCTGTTTTGGCTGGTGGAAACTGGACACAGCATAGGTGTGTCCAGTTTGAGGGTGATTGAGTCAGGTTATGAAAGTTATCAATGTCCATGTCTCCTTTGTTCGGGGGTCCCCTTGTGGCAAGACTGCCGGCAAGTTGCACCCTTCCTGCAGGAAGTAAACCAGGCTTGCTGAGGGATCCATGGTCTCAGTGTGGATTCTTCCCAACATTATAAACCCGTTTCCAACATATGGATATGCTACATTTTGCTTTTTCATTCATGCATCAGTGAAAACTTGACTTGCTTATACCTTTTGGCTAATGTAAATAATGCTGCTATGAATATCGGCATATATATATATGTATCTCTTCAAGATCTTGTTTTCAATTCTTTCAATTCTGTTATATGCCTGAGTAGAGTTACTGGATCATATGGTAATTCTATTTTTAATTTTTAGAAGTTCTACTATATTGTTTTCCATAATAGCTGCACCACTTTACATTCCCATCAACAGTGCACAAGGGTTCCAATCTCTCCACTAGCTTGCCCACATCTGTCATTTCCTGTGTGTGTATTTTCTTCATAGTAGCCATCCTAGTAAGTGTGAGGTGGCATTTCACTGTCATTCTGCTGAGCTTCTTGAGTAGATCACCCACTACCTACCCAGCCCCAGGAAGCAGCCTGCCATGCTAAAGTCGTGGCTGGACCTCGAGAAAGACACTGAACATAGCAGGAGGGCGATAGTTCTTAGCACTCGTAATAGCTACCTGATACTGTCCATTTGTTGAGCCAAATTGTTTGTTAAATCTAAGATATATAATATTTGATATGCACGGTTAAGACACAGACCTGTGAGAAGGGAGTGGTCAAAAAGATGATGACTTACTGAGTGTTAGATTTCTGTGAATGAGCACCATCTCCAAACTAGAGAAGTCCTCTCTCAGGAGTTTACGCCGCTGTAGGGCTCTTTATGTGATATGTAGCATGACAGTAGAATAACTACAATGAGGGGATAGAAAAATAGTGAGTAAATGCAAAAGGAAGACTGGCAGACTGGGGTTCATGTTGGTGGGGAGATGACAGGGGCTGAATTAAAACAGAAACCACAATTTCCAAAACATAAGCCTCACTTACAAAGCAGGCCAGTTTCTCCTGACCACACCATGGTGGGTGTCACAGACAGTCTAAGTTCAAACTTTTTTGTTCAAACCATTTTGTTCTCAGACAAGACCATAGAGAAATTGACCTGTCTGTTACTCCCCACAGACTTGTGCATCCCAAAGATAAGACCACCTACTTTTCTAGAAACTCCCCAGTTTAAGAATCTGATGAAATCCTGCCAACACCATCCTGTGGCTAACTCCAGCCCTCTAAGCTTTATTGGGTGCCCTTCCGTTAATCCTCCCTTTTGAGATGCCTCAAATTTCCCCACTGTGTTCAGTTTCCCTTGCTATCAGCCTAACTTTGTTGACTACAGATGTGTCCCAGTTGGTCTTAGGCTCCAGGACATTGAAGAACATTAAATTACATTCAATGCCTAAAGCGAGTTCTCTCCATGGCTCCGGAAATGATCAAAGCCTCTCTTTCTGGCCACCTCACAATTTCCCCTCCCCAGCTCTTACTTTCTCCATCTTCTTCCTCCAAGCTCCTGAAATGCCACACGGGACACCTGGTACTTATACTTTTATTTATGGAGGCTTCTTACAAAAATGAGTAATTAACGTCATAAGAAAATTCTCAGGCTGACCTGAGAATAAAGCAATCAAGACCACATTAAAATTATATCTTTTTTTCCCAAGACTCATTAAGGAGCTGTGAGAAAATCAGTACAACCTGTTGTGAAATCCCAGCGTAATGTTTAACTAATTTTCTGCCTTTGAGCAGTATCCCCACCATTAGCTTTCTTTTTTTCCTTACTGGCAGTTTCACTTAATCTCTTTAAAGTGACATAATGAAAGAGTGAAAAGAAAATGTACCCTATGGTCCTGCAGCCACCCCTGACAGCTCCACTTTCTGACTCACGGCCAGGAAAGTGCCGGCTCTGTTTTCCCAAGTCCAAGGGGAGGTGGGTACCTCTTCTGCTCACCCCTACTGCTTCCCCAAATCACTCTCCCTTCTTTCTGAACTTTGCTTAATTTACTGGGGAGAGTGACTGATCCTTCCTGGCTGCCTAGGGTAGAGCCTAGATCCCTTATTCATACTTCCCTGCGTCTCTCTCATCCACAATGTCGTTTTAAATGCAGTTTTGTTCCCTTATCCTTCCTTGCTCCTGGTGAAATTGATGGGTATGGAGGAGGTAAACTAGTCCCTCCATGGCAAATTTCAACTGAGACAGAGAGGAACTTGGCCCTGAAACCTGTAAGCTCAGGAGCTGTTGGTGGCTTTCCCAACAAAAAACGGGGCAAAGACAGTCCAAAGCCAAAGGGAAGAATAAAGTAGAGGCTCAGAGGAAAATAGAAAGGACACCCTTCCTGGGCTCTTTACTGTGTCCCCGGTCCAGCCCTGTGCCTTCCCTAGATCCTGCAGTCTGTGTTGTCGGAATCTATGAGCCTCTGCGGTGCCCTTCCATTGCATTTGCTCAAGTCAGCTCCTGTAACTTACAACCAGAAAAGCCTGAGAAAGGTGCCTGGCTTCTAAAGCTCAGTTTCATGGCCCAGGAGAGCTTCACTCCCTATAAAAGGTGAGCATGTTCCCTGGCCCTAGTAGCTGCGCCAACCGCCTTGGGAAGCCATCCCTGCTCCCTGAGCTAACCGGCATCTCTTGGCTCTGAGCTCCCTCCCTCTCCTGTCAGGCTTCTGCCATGGCCCTTAGCCCTTCAGCCTGAGATCACTTGTATACCTTTCTAAGAGATCCCACTGGCAGATAAGGGCTGGATCATCCCACTCCAGGCCCCTCCTTCCTCATCATTGTTGCCACATGTACTGGGGTTCACACGCTGCCAGCTTGCTTAGGTTAACAAGAGGTTGCTTCCTTATTTTCTACTAATGTTAGGAATTTTCCGTTCATCCTATGCATAACATGCAAGGTGGTTACACTTTAAACTTGCCAGTTAGTAATATCTCTCTCTGTGGGTTGGAGTCTTCTTTTTGGGGTGGCCAGGCTGCTCGTGCATCAATGCTTGATCTTCCAGATCTTCCCACCCCTTCCTTTTCAAGATGGCCTCTGGGTTTGGGGAAACTGGGGAGTTCAGGGCAGTGAGGAGGTGTGGACTCTGCCTCTACTTATTTGGTTCCTGTAGTCCTTTGGCATCCTGAAAAGGACCACACATGGATGGCCCCTACACCATGCTGACCTCTGGGGCTGAAAGCTGTAGCTGGTGAGTTTGTAGTTGATCTCTGGGCTCCATCTCAGCCCCATAGCCCTCCACACAGCTTTGGCCTCAACCTGGTCCTTGCTGCCACCCTGACGTGGGTATTCTGCCCTGCCCCTATAGGTATAGGATCTCTTTGCCCCTGGAATAGCAGACCTCACCAGCCACATCCACAATAACTTCTGCTGCTCCTACAGGCTGTGTGTAAGGCTTGTGAATGCTGACCCAGGCTCCCTGCCACATCTGCTGCACCACGCTGTCCACTGACTGCAGGCACCCTGCCCAGGGTCCCAAACACCACACCTTCCACTCTGCTACAGCCACCACTCTTAGGATCCCAAACAGGAAACCCCTCTGCTCCTGGCTACCCTCTCAGTCCTTCTAACACCTGGGAATCTTGGTTTTGGTCTGAGTGGAGGAGTCATATATCTCTGACTGTGTGCTCACCTGTCTCTGACCCTCTTCTCTTCTTCTACTTTGCTGCCTCCAAAAAGGACATGCTTCTCCCCACCCCCCATTTTGTCTGACCTGAAACCCTCTTTGGTAATTTTCTTTCCCTTACCTAGGCCAGTGCATCTCCAGGCCTAGGTGCCCAAGGCAAAGCGTCTACGGAAGGAGTTACGTGCTAAAACCTTCAGTTTCAATCAATATGAAAGCTGCAGAATAATTAAGAGTAGGGATCGGCCAGGCACAGTGAGTGGCTCATGCCTGTAATCTCAGCACTTTGGAAGGCCAAGGCAGGCAGATCACCTGAGGTCAGGAGTTCGAGACCAGCCTGGCCAACATAGTAAAACCCCATCTCTACTGAAAATACAAAAATTAGCCAGGTATGGTGGTGGACACTCGTAATGCCAGCTACTCAGGAGGCAGAGACAGGAGAATCTCTTGTGCCCAGGAAGCAGAGGTTGCAGTGAGATTGTGCCACTGCACTTCAGTCTGGGCAACAAGAGCAAAACTCTGTCAAAAGAAAAAAAAGGGGAGGACCCAAAGTAAAAATACATTGATTTAACAGCCCCCAAATATTATACCTATTAAACCTATATTGAATGCCTAGTATGTCTCTGGAGTTTTGCATACCTTTTAATTAATGAATATTATATTTTGCATCATATTATATATTTTATATGCTACATTTTATAGCCGGCTTACCTAGCAGGTATCATTAGCATCATTTCGTAGATAAGGAAATGACCAGACAGGTTAAATTGCAAGTGCGTGGAGGCGGGATTCAGACTTAGATACGTATAATTCCCAAGTTTTCTTCATCACAGCACACCATCTTCTGGGCGTCTGGTACCTTCATCCAGCCCTAGTTGCCACATGGAACATGCTCTCCTCCTGTTAACTGAACAATCAGATGACAAAAGAATGAGTGAAGGAATTTCCTCCACAAACCCAAAGACATCTTGGTATACGCAAAGGACAGTAGGGATAAATAAAAATTTCACTGTGATTTTTTAATAGTGTTTTATTCTATTATGCTTTGCAGCTAACAATCAAGCACGTTTGTGTAATATCTCATCTGGCTGTTGTAAGGATCAAGTGAGGGAGAGGAGAGAGCAGATGTTATGAAGCTCATTTTACAGTGGAAGAAACTGAGGCTCAGAATGCATCAAGAGGCACACAGCAATACAGCTGGTAAGCAGTCTTCTAATTGCGTCTCTTTCCACCTACGTACGACATGGCACGTTAGTCATTATTGAATTATTGATTGATACCAAAAGACTTATAAGATTTAGGTCTAATAACACAGTGACAACCCCATTTATGTGGGGAATGCTTACATTCAGAATGCCCAGCTATGCTGAACACAGATGAGAAAGGGAAGGTATGTGAAGTAAATAAATCGAGAGTCTTTAGGGTTAAAATAGATGCCACAGTAAAACCCTGAGAGGTTATGTGGTTCCTTGATAGAAGATTCCCTTGAGCTTTTATTCAAAGCTTATTTTCTCTTTTTTTAAAGCCAATTATAATTTGTTTGGTTTTTAGCCTATAGCAGATTAAAGACAGCAAATGGGAGCAGGGAGGCATGCATGTTATCTACAAGAAGATAGTGAGGGAGGAGACAGGCAGAGCATAAAAAGCCTGCACCAGAGCTAAGAAAGTGTAACAATCTAGAGCCAGTCAGCGAGGAGAAACAACCACTTAGACCTAAGTGATCTCCAGCCTATCCTCCCTTGTAGCTATTGCAGAGGACAGAGCAAAGTAGACTGGGAAGTCTGATCTTGCTTCTACTTTAACCCTTTGTTCTTTTTGAATGGAATGGTTAATAACTCTATCAGTTTCCAGTTGCTGCTGTAACAAGTTACGATAAACTTAATATTTTCAAGTAACACAAATTTATTATCTTATAGTTCTGGAGGTTAGAAACACAAAATGGGACTTACAGGCTAAAATCAAAGCATGGGCAGAGCTGTACTCCTTTTGGAGGCTCTGTGAGCGAATCCGTCTCCTTGCCTTTCCAGCTTTCAGAGGCTGCCTTCGTTCCCAGCACATGGTCGCTTCCTCTCATTGCTCCAACTCCTGTTTTCATGATCAGACCTCCCATTCTTACTTTGAGTTTTCTGCCTCATAATTATATAGATGCTTATGATTATACAGAACCCATCCAGACAGTCCAGGATAGTCTCCCTATTTCAATATCTGTACCATTCTAAACACCTGCACAATCTCTTTTGCTATGTAAAGTAGTATATTCACAGATTCCAGGATTAGAACAAACATCTCTTGGGGGTGATTAAACAGGCTACTACATTAGCAAATGAATTCCATAAACATAGAATTTCATAGCTAATGTCACCACTCTCCTTGTTGGAATCACTGGCCATCACTCCCTGCCCATCCTAGGCTCCCTGCTTGGAGAGGGGCCTCCACCAACCTCCAGTGTTTTTAATTTTGAGTCATGGCTGAAGAAAGCCAGAGAGAAAATAGGAGAAAAAAGGGAGCTGAAAATGGAGGCAAAGTCCATGTGTTGGGGACCTAGATGGCCCCCTTCAAGTAGCTCAGGTCTGGCAGCTTGTGCTGGGCTTGTGGAAGATTCCCTCTCAAGAGGTGAAATACCTCGGGAAGCAAGCCCCAGCACAGGTAGGGCTCGTGGGTCTGTGGGGCTGGGCCACCAGTGTTCACCTGACCACACCATCTGCCCCCGCTACAACTTCTTGTATCAGGAAATTAATGACATGAGGCCTTCTTGTTTGTTCCTAATTGATCACCTTATGTAAAGAATCTTAGGCTGGGTGCAGTGGCTCATGCCTGTAATCCCAACACTTTGGGAGGCAGAAGTGGGAGGATCACTTGAGCCCAGCAGTTTGAAACCAGTCTGGGCAACATAGGGAGACCCATCACTGCAAAAACTTGAAAAATTAGCCAGGTATGATGGCATGTGCCTGTAAGTCTCAGCTACTCAGGAGGCTGAAGTGGAAGGATGGCTTGAGCCTGGGAGGTCAAGGCTCCGGGAGCCATAACACCACTGCATTCCAGCCTGGGTGACAGTGAGACCCTGTCTCAAAAATAATCCAAAAAAAAAAAATCTTATATTTTATGGTGTCACAGACTCCTTTGAGAATCTGATGAAAGCTATGGATTCCCTTTCCAGGAAAAAAGCACCTAATGCAAGCACACTGAAATATACACGTGAGTTTAAAAAATCATAGTCCCCTGAATTTAACTTGTTTATTTTCATGGATCCCAGGCCAAGAACCTCTGGTCAGAAGCTGTTACTTTTCTCAAGCTGTAATTCTGAATTCCATCTATGTGAAATTTCTGCAAAACAAAGTTTTCCTCTTTAATTTTAGCCATTTAGATTGAGATATTGTGTGCAAACCTTGGGGACACCTGTTTTTGTATTAGCATCATTATACAAGCTCTTCCTCCTGAGCAAGGTCACTGGAGTGAACCTCAGTCCCTGGGCTGGGCTGTTGCCACGAGATGATATGTGGGAAACCCCAGCCTAGGCCTGGTTTCCTTCTTCAAGCCGGATACCATGTACTGCCTTTCATTTCTTCTTTCCAGTTTGTGGGAATAAAACCAAAGTTCCTTTGTACATTCACTTTACGTGTTTGAATATGCTCTTTTATATAAGTTTGCATTCCTCTTTTTGTCTTTTGCAAAATCTGCTGACTACCACATATTGGCCATTCAGAGAAGAATGGGCGGATGCTTACCAGTATGGCCAACATGGCAAAACCCCATGTCTACTAAAAATACAAAAAATAGCCAGGCATGGTGGTGTGTGCCCATAGTCCCAGCTACTAGGGAGGCTGAGGCAGGAGAATTGCTTGAACCTGGGAGGCGGAGGTTGCGGTGAGCCAAGATCGTGCCACTGCACTCCAGCATAGGTGACAGAGCAAGATTCTGTCTTTAAAAAAAGAAAAAAGAAAGAAATATGTATGGTTTTGTGCAAAAGCCACATGTTGACATTGAACAGAAAATTCTAACAATTTCATTTGTAATTGTTGTAATTGGTCACTGAAACATTTTGACTTTCATCAATGCACTATTTCCTTATATGTGTATTAAAAATTCACATATGAAAGAAAATGGAGAGGAAAGGCTACCACCTGATTATTTCTATCCATGTGATACAATTTAAGATCTATGACTCCATAGACATAAAAGACCTAAGTTTTAGAGCTACCAGTGACAGCATGAAAGGTTTCTGTTTTTGTTGATTGAGAATGAACTAGTTCTCTCCATAATATAAGCACATTATTTGTGGATGCCATGCACTTACTGACTTGTCCTTGGTGTGACCGTTATAAGCCTGCGTGAGTCACTTCTACATGAGCACCTTGAGGCAGCCCACCGAAGAATAGCCTTTAAATAGGTCTGTTTTAAAGTCTGAGCAGTTTCTCAATCAAAGAGCGGAAGGAAAGCTTCTGAATCTGAAATTAAGATTTCTTATATTGTGACCTGTAGCCATGAGGTTTTCTGACCCCTCCAGGAGAGAACTCTCATCAGGGTTTTTGAAGCAAGGTGCTGGCTGGTTGCTTTACCTGCTAGGTTTGCAGAGAGACAACTTCATATGAGCCTTGTGACAGGAAACACCTGGTTAGATGATCCCATTGTCTTGTGGCTTGAACTCTGGGAAAGAAGAGGTGCTGAACAGGGCAGTGAGGAGGTGGTGGTTCTGGAGGAGCTACACCACTCCTGAGTGTATTCCAGCAAAACAGTAAATGCCAGGGGAGTGGATGGTCTAGTCAATGTCCTGCAGGAGTCTGGGTCCAGGAGAAGATCCAGGGATGAGATCTGAAGACAGAGTTGCTCTGGATCAGAGCACACTGGGCAGGTGGAACAGGTGCTAGTGACTCTAGGTCATACCCAAGACACCAGCATTATTTTAGGCATTAATGCAGACATCATGAGCATTTGCATTTTTTCCAGGAGTCAGGAAGAGGCATCGGGATGATTCAAAACTCTGGTTCTGCCCTGGAGTGACTTCAAGCTGAGGACATTCCAACTCAGAGGGCCTCAGCTGCAGAACCAACTGGACTCCAGTGTTGCAGACCAGTGAGGATGGAAATGCTTGCAAGACCAAGATGGACAACGTTGAAATGGCCTCAAGCCTGCTACTAAGACTGGCGCTTGTGGGGGAGAATATTTGGTCCAGTATTCAGAGTCTAAAGGGTAGAGACAGGGAGGATTTGTTTCAGGCAGATAACAATAACCCTGAAGGTCCAGTCCAGCAGGCAGGGCATACCTGAGATGCAGGCAACAGGTAACATGCAAAGTCAGATGCACAGTGGGATGTGGTTTGAGAGATGAGTGACACCCCCTCAGTGAGATTTCCACAACCATCTGTGGGATGGGGAACTGAGGCCATTCTAGCTCCTTAGGAAGGGGCAAGAGCTCGCTGGATGCAGGGGCCAGGTGTATAAGAGTATTGGGTGGGAATCAGATGAAGCGAGGACCAGGAGAGATTGACAGGGGGCTGAGGGTCAGGCCTAGACACTGAGCCAGCAGGCAGCACAGGGGACCGGTGACGCCACGGCTTATCACAAGCACAAAGCCCTGAGATGGACTAGTCCCTAATTTCAGACCTCTAGCTGTGGATAGCTAACATATTTTCTTTCTCTGGGATAAATTAGATGAGGACCTGGGAAGACCGCGTTTTCTGGGAGAAGCCCTGGAATACAAGATTTAATATACTTAAAGGGAGCTCACATTCCCATCAACCTGGAGCAACTCACCTGGGAATGTCTGAGTTGGCTTCAAAGTCTCAGCCAAATCCAGACCTATCTAAGGAATGTGGAAGCTGAAACCAACTTCACCTGGATCTTTGCCTTGTGGTAACATCCTTGCCCTATGAGTTGCTGCCTGCATATATGGAAGTAGAAGAGAGGAGACACTGTTTTAGACAAACATATAACATAAATGATTTTATTATGAAATTAAATAATTACATAGATACATTAGAGCAAAATTATTTTATCTGAATTGTATTTTGACCCGTGCATCCTATTCAACAACAATCTTTGTAAAAAAAATTTACCCTCCTCCAAAACATTTATTCAGTTAAAATGTGAGTGACTAATATTGTAATGGTCCCTTGAAAGCAGGATACAGGAAATCAAGGCATTTGAAGGAATGTGGAAAGAAACAACAGAAAGACTTCTGGTTTTGAAATTAGTAACCGGGCTTTCATTCTGGCCTGGCCAAGTCCTCCCAAGCCCTTGGTCCTCATTTTCTGTACTGTTCTGCCTGTGTTACCTGCTTCTAACCTGATTCAGGAGTCCTGGCCCCTTCCTTGACTTCTGGGGGTATGAGTGAAAACAAGACAGATGTCTCCTTTGCCAGCTCTGGGGAGATTCTATCAACCTCATGGTTGAGGGTGGATAATAGGTCATCCCAAACCCTGCTCCAAGGAGGAAATGTTGACAAAGGATTCTACAGTCTCAGTCCCTACTCCAGTTGTGACATGTTCAACAAGCCCCAGAGAGATAACTTCACCTCCCTGCCCTCACTCGCCTTCCCCTACCCCATCACAGTAACAACACACAGCCCAAAACAAGCGATGTCTGTATTATTAGGAGACTGGAAACGTGTGAGCCAAAAAATGTAATTTTTGCCCCAATGTGAAGATCCTTGTCATTGAAGGTTTCCTGTGCTTCTTTTCTGATTCTGGGTTAATGCTCTTTTGGAACATGCAGCAATTACTCTGATCACTAGAAAAGTCCAGTGCTTTTGGAATGATTTGATCCAGATTGAAGAACTCTAATGCTCCCCAAAGCAGAAGCACCTAAGAAATAACGCAGGTCTGCCAACGCCCTTAACAATCTGCATGAGACCGACTGGCCGACCCCAACCTCCAATCTCATACCCTGTTCTGATGATCTAGTGTTACGTACAAATGACCCTGACATTTAGAGGCTTACAACAATGACCATTTTATTCTCCTTTTTATTGACGGGCTTAACTGGGCAATTCTTCTGCTTCAAGTCATGTCAACTGGGAGACTTGGACACAAAAAAAATACTTGAAACTTTATATAATAAAAGGGAATGCAAATTATAGAGTCACTTTTCTTTTATTAAGGGAACAGAGATTTATTTTTGCTTCCATTTAAGATATGGAGTTCCTGTCTTCTCTTGAATGTTACAAACAAGACAGAACTTTTGGTCCCATGAAATTCACTAATGTAATTACTTGAAAAAAACTATACATTTTAGAAATATTGATTGGTGACAAACTTAAACAACTGCCATGGAAAACTGCCTTACTTCAATCCTTTCTGAGAGCCTATGGACAAATACAGTAATGAAAACAAGTTTGGGACCGGATGCAGTGGCTCACGTCTGTAATCCCAACATTTTCGGAGGTCGAAGCAGGTGGATCACCTGAGGTCAGGAGTTCGAGACCAGCCTAGCCAATATGGTGAAACCCCATCTGTACTAAAAATATAAAAATTAGCCAGGCATGGTGGCGGGCCCCTGTAATCCCAGATACTTGGGAGGCTGAGGCAGAAGAATCGCTTGAACCTGGGAGGCGGAGGTTGCAGTGAGCTGACATCGTGCCACTGGACTCCAGCCTGGGTGACAAGAGTGAAACTCCATCTCAAAAAAGAAAAGAAAACAAGTTTGCATCTGCATAATTAGCAATTGACTTCATATTTATATTTCTATTATTTGGACCAGTAACATCTCTTTAAAATAGTGATATTTTCTAATTTCTTTTATTTAAAAATTTATTTTATTTTATAAGTTCCAGGACGCATGTGCAGGATGTACAAGTTTGTTACATAGTTAAATGTGTGCCATGGTAGAGTCACTTTTAAAAGCACTCTTTGGGGTTTTGGTGGAAAGGAAAACTGCAGGCCAATTCAGACTGACCCTCCAGGCTCAGTCCCTTAAGATACCAGGTACCAGGTCCCAGTCCCATGGTCTCACTTCACTTGGCCAACTCTGCAATCTCCGCTTACGACAGCGTTCTCCTCCCACCTGAAAGGAATCTCAAGCCTGATAAAAAGTAATTCGTCCCAGCTAAAAGCAGTTTGGGCATCTCTGAGCTGCTGAAAGAGGACCTGGTGCGGCAGGTGAAAAGATCAAGGACCCTCTGTGTCTTTCCTTTCTGGCAGGTGAATATCCGTCTGGCTGCCCCCTTCCCCCCTGCTCCTCAGAGCACCTCTGCTTGAGAGTCTGAGCTCAGTTAGGTAACACTAGTGCTGCGCTTCTCCATTCCTCTGGCCAGGGTCAGGCCTGAAGTCTTTAGGGAAATGAACTTTGTCATCTTTTTACAAAAATTGTAGCAGAAGAGGAGGAAATTGCACTACTTCAGGCTTTACAGCCTGACAACATAACACTCTCACTTCCTGTTTTCTCTCTGCCCAGTCTCAGGACGCCTCTCAAATACTAACTCGATGCTCTGCCCTCACTGTATCCTTTGCTGATCTGATTCCTCAACATTTATATCAGGGCTTAGTTCTGAGACACAAATTTGCTGTCTTTAATGCACTTCCTTTACATAATGCTCCTGAGAACATTTTTTTTAAATCCCCATCTATTTTACTGTATGGGTATAATATCTAACATTGCCTCATTTTCTCTGTTTTGCTCACTTTTCCCCCCAGGAACATTTGAGTATCTGCCATGAGTCAGCTACATAGTCTACAGTGATGGTGCTCAATAACCTCCTCTCCAGGAGCGCACAGCCAGTAGAGTAATCAGATGAGCACTTTAATGATGAAGTGCCTGGGAGTGGCACAGACAAAGCAAACACTTGTGCTTGGGAAGGGACAGGGAAGGTTTCTAAGAAGAGGAAACCTTGAAGGAAAAGGAGGCATTGTCCTGGGAGATAAGGAGAAGGAAGTCCCAGGCAGGGTGAAAGCTCATGCAAAGGCACTGAGGCATAAAGAGTTGGCAGTGTTTGGGAGCATCCTAAGTAACGCCATGTGACCGTACACAGGGCACGTGTGAATAATTAGAAATGTGCCCAGAGAGATGAGCGGGTTCCAGATGTTGAACAGTTCTGTGAATCCTTCTGAGTTATTTGCTCTCTATCTGGAGGGCAAGGGAGAGCTCTGACAGGTCACCAGCAATAGGGTGATACGACCTATTGTGTTTTAGATTCAGAATAGCGTTTTTCTTTAATTTTGTATTTTAATTGTGCTCCTGCACCTTTCTTTTTCTCTAAAAGCCTATATGATCGTAACAAAAGGCCATTTAGGGATATATTTATGGTGCCTATTTTCCAAAATCTATAAAAGGATATTCATCCCCACTGCGACTTCCTCCCATCACCCAACTCTTCCATTGAAAGCACTTGGCAGGTGTTTGGATGTGAATTCAACATTCTGAGCTCTTGCTCTGGGCTAAAAACCATGTAAAGCAATTTCATGATCTTCTCTCCTTTCCTCTCATTCTGTTTGTTCCCTAACTCCTGGTACAGTGACTTGGAAATATCAGAAAGAGAGACCTTTAGCCCTCCTGCAGGAACTTCAAAGAAGCCAGCGATAAACTGGTCTGAGCTTACATTGTGCATTTGGGGCAGCTGAGGGGTTGATCCCTCCTGCCCATGCAGTAAAATAGTCACTGTCCACTGCAGTGCAGGTCAGTTCTCAGCATTGCCATTTGTTTAGCCACTTCACCTCTCAGATCATTCAACCATGACTAGCCCAGTTTGGCCATATCATTTAAGAATTCCGTACAAGTGCAATGTTCTGCATTCTACATCTGAACCATAAAGCTATTTTTAACACTTTGTTCATGTTTAATTTGAAGCTTACTGGATTTTACTTGGGCTTCATCCATGAACCTATCCCCAGAGATTTAACTAACATATTTTTTTAATGTAGTGTCAAACCGCCAGTAAGGCAGGAGCCTATGTGTTATTCACAATAGCCCTCCAATCACAGGTTAGCCTGACTCATCTGAGTCTCAGCCGAGATTTTCATGAGGATTTTTGTCAGCTCTTATTTTCATGAGCTTCCAAGGACAAAGATTGGAGGGAAAAGTGGGAACATCTATCTACCCAGCATTCGAAGAAAATCCCACTGGGGAAAACAGATAGAACCGTGTGCTTCCTCTAACCTTCCAAAAACTCATAATACACAGTAATCAAACATATTTAATTTAGACAAAACATTTACATATTTTATATATGATATACATGGTGGACAGTTAATTCCCAGCATCCCATGTTTCCCTTTTTTATTTTTTGCTAAACACTTTGCCAACATCTTGCCTTGGAATTAAAAGTGGCCATATGGTGCTATTTCTCAGCATCCCTTGCAACTAGGCATGGCCAATGAGATGTTAGCAAAGTGTCAGGGGAGACTCTTGGGAGAAGCTCCTATAAGTGAACACAGGCATGATGACTAGAGCTCTAGCAATCCTTTTAGACCTTTAGCTCGTTGTAAGGATCCAAGTCAGCTCTAAAAGAGTGGGACAAGAAATTAGGAGTTTAGATCACTGAAGATATCATGGGATTGCCATACCAGCTCTGTACTGTCCACCTCTGGACTTAAATGAATGAATAAATAAACGTCAAGCTTGTTTATGCTATATTTATTTTGTTTTATTCTGTTACATGCATTCAAAATTAACTCTATGCTTTGGAGGGTTAGGTAAAGGTAGCTTAATCCCACTCTGCCCCCAATTTGTAGCATGTGTACGTCTAAAGCCCTCCCCAAGATATTATACTTGCTAATGCCTGAGGTATATGTTTGCATGACCGCTCCACCTTTGTACTTGTTTCTACTCGTGTCTCCTTAGCTCTGTATTCTTCTGATTCAAACATCTCAGCTTCCTCATTGGTTTCCACAAAAAGCCATTCACAATCTGGGCAAAGCACCATTTCTCTCATGCATAGCACAGCAAACTTACAAATTTGCATAAGACCTTCCTATTAGCTCTGGTCATGTTGCCCCCCAACCTGCCAACACTTCTCTCATGGCTCTTTAGCCAGGATGAATCTGGTATCTCATCAGTTTCTGCTTCTCCCTTCTCTCTATCCATTCTCTACTCTTAACCCCTCTATGTGTCCAAATTCTTCCACATTACATAAAAAAGCAATTCACTCGCCATGGCTCCTTTCCCCAAACTTTCTACCAGGTGCCCAACAGGCAAAAGAACTTCTATTTAATATAATTCTTCTTCTTTAGAAGAAAATTGTGATTATATATGGCATACTTTTCCCAATGTATGTAATGTTTCTAGATATTGAATGAAAGTGTCACAAAAAACCCCGTTCTTAAAGGGTGTAAATATATCTCTAAAATGGCTATCATCAAAAAGACAAAAATAACTGACGGTGGTAAGGATGCTTTGAAAGGGCACCACTAAAACACTGTTAGTGGGATTATAAATGGTACAGCCCACTATAGGAAACAGTATGGAGTTTCCTCAAACAACTAAAAATAGATCTAACATATAATCTTTCTTTTGAATACATACTGCTGGATATGTATCCAAAAGAAAGAAAATCAGTATACTGGAAATGTAAATTGACACACTTTGTAGTATAAACTCATGTTTATTGCAGCACTAGTTACAGTAGTCAAGATATGAAGTCAACTTAAGTGTCCATCAACAGATGAATGGATAAAGAAAATGTGTTACATATACACAATGGAATACTATCTGGCCATTAAAAAGAAGAAACGCCTGTCAATTGCATCGACATGATGAAACTGGAGGTTATTATGTTAAGTTAAATAAGCCAGGCATAGGAAGACAAACTCTGCATGTTCTCACCCATTTGTGGGAGCTAAAGAAGGTGATCTCATGGAGGTAGAGAACAGAGTGATAGATACCAGAGACTTGGAAGGGTGGAAAAGGGTGAATAAAGAGAGATTCGTTAATGGGTACAAAAATGCAGTTAGATGGAATAAGTTCTGGTATTGAATAGCACAGTAGGATGACTCCAGTTAACAACAATTTAGGATATACGTATTTCCAAATAGCTAGAATTTTAAATATTTCCAACACAAAGAAATGATACCTATTTGAGATGATGGATATCCTAATTGCATGATTTGATTATTGCATATTGGATGCACATATCAAAACGTCACATGTACACCAGAAATATGTACAGTTATGTAGCAATTTTTAAAATCTTGATTTAAAGACATTCCCCCAAAATTTCAATGCTGCCTGTAAAGAATAATGTGAATTCATTGTCTGCTTCACATTCATCTAACCGTTAATATTGTGTTTTTAAATTCATCTTGTCTCTCTCATTCTCACAGTTTTCTTAAATATTGACATTATATGCCCTATTTTACAGTTAAAGAATTGGTATTCTGAAAGGTGGAGCAGCTTGCACAGGGCACACAGCTACTAGGAGGGGAAGCCATTATATAGGACCCCTATACTGAGCCCAGAACTCTTTTAATGAGCCCCCATGCATCCTCAGCATGGGTTAATTTACCCTATCCTTAGCAGAGAGCAGAAGCAGAATAGAATGGGGCTAGTATTAATAAGCTCTGACCCAGGAGGAGAGGAGCAGCAGAGAGCCTGAGTTTGGTAGATGGGAACTGAGGACTACTATACACAGTCCTGGGCAGCCAGGAGTAGCAGGGCAGCGTGGACCTGGGCCTTAGAGAAAGGATAAAGCCCAAGACAAGATGTGTGTTGGTGACAGTGCCAGCTTTTACAGGATCTCCCATCACCCACCTCTTTTTTTTTTTTCTGATTAAGGAACTTGCTGTAGAGGAGATGGTTGAGGCCAATGCAGATCAAAAAAATACTGAACAAACTAGACCACAGATGCAATACTTGGGGATCACAAAACAGCCTCCTGTGGCACAGGGGAGAGCAGTGGATTGAATCAGAGCTCACTAAGTGAAATCAGTAACAAAGTGCTTCTCAGGAGAAATCTCATTTTCAAGAGCAGATTTTGAGATGATTCAAAATTGGAACATCTGACAGTGGGGGCCTACAGGAACATTCTCCAGGGCCTGACTAGTTGTTGTAAACCACAGGTAGGTCCAGGGCTTTTGGGGAAGCTGTGCAAAGATCCCGAGTCATTTGCACGCAGTACTTGATGAGCAAAGGCAGCCCTGTCAGAGGCAATGTTATCAGCCAGTGTGAAGGACACCTGTGCAAATGGGAGGGTCCACCCCATCCTGGTGATAGAAAGGGATGTTTTGTTCGGTGGTCTGTGCACACATGTAGTTTGTGGCAGCTTCTGTTGGCAAAATCACTTTCTGATTTCTGCATTCTTCCTTTGATCTTGCCCAGTAAGAACTTGCTCTCCAAGCATGAAAATTTCTTCCATTTACTGAAAACCTATGTGCCAGGTCCTACTATGGCGTACGCCTACAAAGTAGAGTCTCACTCTCTTTTCCAGCTGAGAACGCTCGCCTCTAGAAACAGGATGGGACTTGCACCAACACTGCACAGCTAAGTCAGTGATGCCCACAGTGATGCCCACAGTGATGCCCACTGTGACCAGCCCCAAAGCCTGAGCACAACGGAGTTTCGGGGCTGCACATCCCTGGGATGATTGTGAATGGCACTACCTGGCCCACATACATGCGAAGAAGGGCATAAAACTTATACTTCGGCATACCAAGAAATTTCTGTCACTCGAGTGTTTCCAGACCTGCTCACAGGTATACCGGGAGACCAGGAGAGCCTCAAGAGGCCCAAAGCCTGTGTCGAATGCTCTTCCAGAAGCCTCCTGAAGAGTCCTCACGCATCTATGGATTAGACAGACTAGACCACGCACTCCTGGAGTGCTCAAGCATACCTGAAAGATATTCAATAAATGCTGCCTTTTCCTATCCTCGCCATTTCCCATGTGTGACATGTTGGCCTACAACTACCATGGGTGTCTTGGAATTCTCTTGAAGCTGGCCTGGGGTGCAGATTTCATCGCATTCCCACTAGGGTCATAGCCAGATGCACTAAGCACTTACTTCTCACCAGCCATGCTGCTTTGCAGTTTGGATACACCCTCTATTTGAGTGTTTCTAGCAGTGCTATGGAGCAGATATTACCATTACCCCAAAAGAAAGGAGCTACTTGGGAGGCTGAGGTGGGAAGATCACTTGAACCCAGGAGGTTGACACTGCAGTAAGCTGTGATCGCACCACTGCACTCCAGCCTGGATGAAAAAGTGAGACCATGTCTCAAAAAAAAAAAAAAAAAAAAGACGCTGAAGGGGAGAAAGTTACATCATTGGTGTAATACATTACTCAGAAATAAACAGTAGATATGAGATGTAAACATGAGCCTTTCAGTCTTCACAATCTGGGTTCCTAAGCAGTCCTTTAGTTACCCTCCCTTGGATGTCTCTGGAACTTCTCTAGGCCCCACCACTCAGGTGATCCTAGTGACCTGAGTGAGGGACTGAGGCAGCAGCACCTTAGACCCAGAGGAAGTCACAGATTCATGGGTGACCCAAGATACCCAACAATATCCTCAGTATCGGGCCAGGGGCATAACTGGGGAAACCCTCTGACTTGTGCTATCGCTGCTGCAGATCTGAGAATTGTATCCCCATCAGTACTTGTAAGACTAATACCTGCACAAGAAATCTTCAAACCATAAAAATTGGTATTTCCTCCATCCTGAAAAGGATGGTACTCTAAAACTTTACCTGCTACTCCAAATGCTATTTTTTTAAATTGCTAACAATTTAGATAGCTTCCATAATGTTTCAAAATTTGTAAATAAGCTCCCTCAGAGCCTAAGCAGAGAGAAACAGAATCACATGACCTCCCACATTTATCTAGGCTGTGTCCTGTCCTCTTATCTTGTCTGAGAACGGCATATGACTTTGTTGTATCCCATTTTAGAGCGAAGCATTTAGGTTATACATGTCTTTTACGTATGATCTGGTTCGAATTTTTTTTCCCCCTCAGAAAGACAGTGTTCAGTTCTCTTCTTCAGAGCAGAAAATCAGTCTCTTGACAAGGAACAAATCATCCACAGGTAGGAAATGTAAATGCACTTTGAAATTCTGGAGAAAAAAAGATGCACTGTGCACAGGCAGCCTAGCAAATACGAATTGATTAATTCTAACCCACGTTCTTTCTCATTAGATCTAAAATCCCACCATGCTAACTGCCCATTATTTTCTGCATTGCTTATCTTCTGCACACCAAATGAAAGGCCTTGACCCTCCAAGGAATAACCCAACTTCTCCAGAGGAAAGATATTATGTGAGCAGAATATTCTTTAACAACAAAATAAGGAGCACAACCTCACCATATAGAGCTGTTTAAAACAAAACTAAATAACTTCTGAATGTAATCACTTATAATGTCTACAATACGTGGGTGCTGCTGATCAAATTGTTAAAGGGTTGTGTGCTTCTGGCTTAGTTTTTTTTTTCTTTTTCTTCTCCGTTTTAGCTTTAGTTTTGTTTTGTTTTGCAAGAATGAAAGGGGAAGGGCCTCCTAACCAACCCAACAGATCAGTTCCGGCAAGCCTCGAGGCTCCCGTGGTTTATGGTCACTGACTTCAGCCAGGGAGCACGGAAGTTGCTGCCGCTGTGCAACTTGGGTTTTTTTTTTTTATCCTGCAGTTTTTAGCTCAGCAGAACTGCACACCCGGGACTCTCCCCAGCTCTTCGTGTGTGGCTCTCTCAGGATCCCACAAGAGCAAGCTGTGGGTCTGTGAGTGTTTATGCGTGCTTTTATTCACTTCACACTTATTGAAAAGTGTGTATGTGAGAGGGTAGCATGTGTGTCAGAGAACGAGAGACTAGTTGATTCTGTGACCTCAACTTCAGTATCCCTCAGCTGGTAGCTTTTTGGAGCCAGGTGATCACTTGGGGTGCATAGCTCAGAGATGCAGTCCCCCTGGAAAGTCTTTATGGTGGCGCCTCTATTCTTTCTTCCGCCCCTTCAGTCCTTGGCTTCTCCACTCTACGAGGACCAGTCCAGGCTCAGCGACTCCAATGGCCACACCTGTGTAGGTACGTAAATAAATATTTTTGTATTTTTTATATAGACATAACAATGGGGTCCAATACTTTGCTTGCATAATCAGTCGCATGTTTGATGATATCAAGAGTTGTAAGATTCCAAGTAAGGTACCAGTAACCTCACTGACACAGAAAAATGTAGAGTCTAAGGGTTGACATTGACACTACATACATCTTTGTGAATAAAAAGCGTATGAGTTTAAATTGGGCATAAAACTCTTCCACCTCATTGGTGATTGGAATTTTTGCTTCTTGTATAGGCAACTATTATTTCCGGCTATTTTAACCTGAAAATTTCACTGCTTTTCATGGGCTTTGACCTCAGACAGACACATCTGAGTTTGATTCACTGCCCACCTCCTACCCTTCTCACCTGTTTCTTACTGGCTGCAAAACCGGGAGCAAGGTACTTAACCCTCTCCAAGCTTCTGTGCCCTTATTGGTGAACTGAAGCTAATAAGACCCACCTCATAGGGCTATTGTGAAAATTGTGACCGTGCATGTAAGTCTGTGGCATTTGCACACAGTAAGGACTCAACCATCTTAGCTTTCTTCCGTCTCTCAGAGAATCCAAATTTGGCGATCACCTGGAAACACTGAGCACTGATATGGCTTCTTGGCTTATCTCTTAATGAAGTGTTTTATTTCCAAGGTTTTTTTGTTTGTTTGTTTGGATGTCAGTAGAAAGTAAGGGAAGATTGTTGATATTCACATTGTAGCTCTCATAACATGTGAATTCTTATAACAGTGGCGGCATTTAGATGGTGCAGTCCATAAAGCCACATAGACTCAGAACTCCCAGTAGTAAGTAATTGCTTGATGAGCAGACCTCAAAATAGAATCCTAGCTTGAGAAGCCAGGAAAAGAACTCTAGGATAAGTTTGGAGGCCACATGCTGCAAATGGAAAATCTTAACACAGATTCTGACACTTAATTGTTTCTGGAGACAACATGGAAAAATATCTGAATTAGTTCTACTGCCTCAAAATCATGGCCTCAGGTCATTGTCCATGTTAGGAGATCCACCTTGACTTTCAAAGTCTTGTTTTAATTAAGACCCAGATTCCCTGAGACTCTATTTTCCAGAGACCTAGAAGCAGAGGTGTGTGGCCCTTTGAATCATGCCTGGGAGATCATCCTCATCCAGCATTTGGTTTCCTTAAATAATTATTTACCACCCTTTCATTTTTCTCAAAACAAAATCCTAATGCCTATCAAATGGAAATACACTTGAGAAAAGCTCAGATGAAATCAGTTTTACTTCTGGGTTTGTTGCAAACTAAATGTTTGAGTTTGAGCAAGTTGTCAAACCTAAGATCCTTGGACCTTCGCTTCGGTAAAATGGACAGGAGATTCTCATTCCTTTCTCTGCCCTGTTCTCAATGAGGTCATGGAGAGTAAAAATGAGGTGTTGGGGGGATTTCAGGATGGGGTTGTTCCGGTTTTCCATTGCTGCATCAAAAATTACAATAATAACCATTTTGTTGTATTATGATTTTATGGGTCAAAAATTTGTTCAGATCTGGCCGGTGATTCTTCTTCTCCATGTAGAAGTGACTGAGGTTAGGAGGTGGTGTTCACATGGTGGATTGATGGATCTGGGACTGACAAAAACAGTTTCACTCACATGTTTGGCACCTTGGGGGTGAGGGAATGGCTAGACAGTTGGCTGATCTGGGAGTGCCATCAGAGTGCCCACATATGGCAGTCTTGGGTAGTAGGCCTTCTTCCTTGGCAGCCTAGGAATCCCAGAGAGAACTCCAAAAGACAGGAACTAGAAGTTGCCAATCTTTCAAATTTTGGGTCGGGAAACAGGCACAGCATCGCTTGCCATCCTCCATTGCTCAAAGTATTCACAGGTTCCTCCACCCAGACTCAAAGGTAGGGGGCATAGACCCCTCATTTTGACGGTAAGGGTCAAGAAATATGTGGTCATCTCTATGATTCACAGAGGTTCACTTTGGTTGCCCACACAAATTCTTACAGCCCCAAGAGCTTGGAGACTCTGTTGTTGATTAGGTTTGAGGATGATTTAACACCCATTTTCCCAGCAACTCATAACTTCTTCTGGCTAACTCTACTTAGGTGACTTACTCACCTGTTGTCATAATAGCAAGGAAGGTAGGTGCAGGAGGAGTCCAGCCTTGTGGTGAACACTTTCTGAGCCCTGCCTGCGTGCTGAAACAAGTGCTGAAGGCAGTCCAACTTGGTGCCTCACTGTTGGAAGTTGGCTTTTTGGGGAGACCCGATTAGATATGTGTGTGCAGGGGAGTTTATTGAGGAGTGCTCTTGGCAAAAAGATCAGCAAGAGAGGAAGGCAGTGGGGTTGGCAGGGAGAAGGCGGGCTGTGCTGCAGCCATGAAAGAAGACCTAGGGGATCCCACTGAGAGCTCTGGAACTAAAATAGCTCTTCAGAGTTGTCCTGAAGTCAGTTCAGGTCTTGGAATTCCCACATCAAACAGTCCCTGGATGTGACCTAACCCCAAGGCAGAGCTGTAATTTTGAGACATCTCTCGTTGGTGGTGACAAATCTGGCAACGGACTGACTCTGATGTTAACATCGTCCTTCAGACCAATGGCTCCAGAAGCTGGGGAGGAAATGTCTCCTGATAGGGAATCCTGGAGTGTACCTACTGAAAGCGCTGCATGTGGGAAGTGTCTCAGGAAGCAGCGAGGTCCGCTCTCTCACAGCTGGTGGGAAGAGAAAGAAGTATGTGGAAGAGGGGACAGAAGAGAAGGAATTGTTGATTGGAATTCTTCTAACTCTACATTTGTTGCCAACACCCTCACAACTTTCTGACCAAAAGCAGGATTATATGCCTTCAAACCCTCCATCAGAAAGGTGGTCCTCAAACATTTCCATGCACTCATTCCTCACATGGCCACTGAATATGCAAGACCCTGTGCTCAGAGCCAAGGATAAACAAATGAAGGAGAAGAAGGATTTTTAGAATGTCTGTCTTCAGGAAATTCACTGTCCAGTTTAGAGGAAAATGAGAACCTGGAGCCTTGTAAAGATTACAGTCCTTTAAAATGAATGTTGAACTGGGCCCTTAGTGCCCTTGATAATACCCTTCCTCTAGAACTCTTTAAACTGCCAATGCCAGACCCCGCAGAGCCCCAGGAAGTGCAGGGCAGAGACTCACAGCTTGGAAGTGGACACTATGGACTTCATAAAGCCGCCAGGGGAAGGTGAAGTAATAGCCTCGGTGAAAGGGAAAAGAGTGTTTAAAACTTTAGAATTTTAGAAACATTTCTACCTGAATATTGCTAGTCAAAGAAGGAAGCCTCAGTTATCCCAAAGATTCTGTTGCATTCACTTGCTTGCTGAAAGACCCCGGGCCATAAAAACCTTTCTGAGCAAAAGTTGATTAGGCAACTGGATTTCTGATCATCCCAACTTGAGCAAGAATGATTCATATATATTTTTAAATACAGACAACGTCCTGCTCTATCACCCAGGCCACAGTGCAGTGGTGCAATTACAGTACACTGCAGCCTCAACAGCCCAGGCTCTAGTGCCTCCCACCTCAGCCTCCCATGTAGCTGGGACTACAGGTACACGCCACCATGACTGCCTAATTGTTCTATTTTTATTTTTGTGGAGACAGGAACTCACTATGTTGTCCAGACTGGTCTCAAACTTCTGGGCTCTACCAATCTGTCCGCCTCAGCCTCCCAAAGTGCTGAGATTATAAGCATGAGACACTGTGTCCAGCCCTCCTCATTTTTGTTCATTGTCAGCTGTCTTTCAGTTGCCATTGCAACATAAATTCTTACCTTGATCATAAAAGGATACCCTTGCCTTGATTTATAAGATCATAATAACATAAAATATTTGTATCACCTTCCCAACTCTTGGAAGAAGTTCTTCCTTCCTGTTTTTCTTGAGGTCAACTGAATTAGGTGGATTTCATCCATTTTTATGAAGATTATTGTTGAGTAATCATATTTGTTTCTTACTCATAAAATTTGTTGTGCTATTGGTCTCCTCAACTCTTCTCAGGGGATAGCACTGTCCATCTTTTCTCTGAGTTGAATGTGGACTAATTGAAGTGATGCCTAGAGAAAGTCACTACAACCAAGTGCTCTTCAGCCACACAAATTACACTTGCAAGTTAATAGTTATAATAATTGCCAACATTTTTTGGACACTGACTGTGTGATAAGCCATCTTCCAAAAGGTTTACGTGTATTCCCATTTAATCATTATGATGACCTTTTGAAGTCTGTATGATCATTATCCTCATTGGGCAGGTGAAAAACAAAAACAGAAATAAGTAACTTGTTCAAGGTTACCTAGCTGGTTAAAACTTGGCTTATTCCTTACTTTAATTGTGATTATGTTACTATTGGAGTGATTAAATCAGGGTAATATATTTCCCTATATTGTTTTAAGTAACAGTTTTATTGAGAAATATAATTCACATATCATAAACTTCACCCTTGTTTAAAAGTGGCATTTAGTATATTCATGAGTTGTGCATTGATCATCAATATCTAATTCCAGAATACTTCATCACTCCCCTCGAAAAATCCAGTTCTCTTAACAGTCATTCCCCATTTCCTTCTCTCTATAACCCCTGGAAATTACCAATCTACTTTCTGTCTCTATGAGCATTTCACATAAATAGGATAATATAAGACATGGCCTTTTGCTACAGGCCTTTTTGACTTAGCATAATGTTTTCAAGGTCCATTCATGTTGTAGCATGCATCAACTTTATTTCTCCTTACAGCCGAATAACATTCCATTATATGGACATATCTGGTTTTGTTATTTATTCATTGTTAATGGACATTTGAGTTGTTTTCAATTCTTGACGATGATGAATAGTTCTGCTATGAACATTCATGTACAAGTCTTTGTGTGGGCATGTGTTTGCATTTCTCTTGAGCATCTACCTAGGAGTGGAATTTCTGGGGCATATGGTAATTCCATCTTTAACATTTTGAGAAACTGCCAGACTATTTTCCAAACAGCTGCACCA